CATCATAAGTCCTTTGTGAAACAAATAAATTGCACCGAGAAGATGCTGCAGCTACCATGGAAACTATAGCTGAGTAGGAACAACAAAATGATGAATGGATAAAAACTGAAGAAAATGAGAAAGTGTAAAAAAATACTCTTTTTCCCGCAGTGCATTTAATAGATTTTGGATGAGAAATCAATTTTCAACAAGCCTACCTTACTTGACATTATGAGCAGCTCTGCTTATCAGCTTATCATCTGAATTTAATTCGCAAGGAAACCAATTTTTTGTCTCATAACCTTTACATCTCATCCTACACTCCAGAGTTTATATTCACTTTTAATGTGTTACATGCTTAATAGTAAAAGTTGAAAAATATTTATATATAAACTAAATTTAGAAGTGATGCAAAGAATGTATTTTACTCATTTGTATGTACGTTATATATAGAATTTTTATTAAAATATAGATATTACTTATCACAAAAACTTTAGGAGAAAAATTAAATAACGCAATTCGAGAAAGATAAAATAAAGTTTTTAGAAAGGTCTAAACAAGTTCAAATGAGAGTTGAAAGGTGGTCCACAGCACTGTAGATTGTGATGCCACCCAGATCACCACTCTTAAAATGACTTTTTAACCACGAGCGCGAATTCCAGTGTTCAAACTGCAGAGAGGAGAGGACGACAAGCAGGCAGGCAGGCAAGCAAGCAAGCAAGCAAGCAAGCGCCATAAACGCACATGGACTCACTGTTCTACGTTGCCTTTGCCGCTTCTACCACCTATAGGCTGGGAACTGGACTGGAGATCCTGGAAGAGACATGGATAGACTTGGACTGCAGCACCACTGCTGCTGCTCTTGTTGCTGACCAAGCCGCCCCCAACTTCCACAACTTCTTAAAGTGGTGAAAGGGGAACACACAAAACACCAGATGCCTGCTGCTGCTGCTGCGGCTGCGCCAAAAACACGCCCACAAACACGCACATGAATGAATGAATGAATGAATGAATGAATGAGTGGATCTTGATCGCAGGACCATGATCGCCTAATCCCCCAGCACCAGCCGTAGCAATCAATCAAAAGAGACACCAGCGAAGAAGCAAATTTAAAAACTCTGGCTGCAAGTTCGTGCTTGGGTCGTGCCGCCAGCAGCAAATTTATTTGTCAAGGACACCAAGAAAGCCAGCAGAACAGCGAGGCACACCATCCTACCGGCCAGCGATCACACGCGCACTCTCGCGCTCTTGGCCCGCAGCGAAGCAGCCAGCCAGTCACGAATTCAATGTGCGTCCAACCGAATCTTCCAGGAAGCACGAAGAGAAGAAAAGTTATAATCTGTCCATTATCATTCAACCAAAGAATTCTCTAAGACATTCACACAACCAGCTTGATCCCTGCTGTACATAAGAGTACCAGTCTCAAACGCTTTTGAAGAAGGAAGGAAGGAGGATCGAGAAGAGGTGATGAGAAGAGAAAAGAAGAGTGAGAGAGTGAGAAAGGAGAGAAGAAAGCCCAAAAACTCCCGCAAGATCCGATCTGTACGCTGGTAAACTAAAATCGTCCGCCCGCCCTCGAGTGTTATCGCTGTTCCGATTGCTGTTGTCACTCACGCAGCCTTGACAATGTGCCTGTAGACCACCGATTTCTTCTTCTTGGACAAGGAGTTGTCGATGGAGAGGACCACCTTGCCGGGCTCCGAGGCCTTGAACGAGTTCCGGATGGGCTCCTCTAATTGCGCCGAGATCTTCTTCGTCTTCACGATGATCGTCGTGTAGCCGCCCTCCTGATCCGGTTGGAACTCGGCGCCATAGCTCACCTCGCTCCCCACCACCACCAAGTCCCAAGTGATGCTCGATCCGCCCTGTTAGAAAAACAAAGGGTGAGATTTTTCAAATCCGGACGAATATTCCAAACCCGCGAAAGAATATTCGCGCCGGGGGGATATTCCCCGCATATGCGGTGAACCGTGGTACTCACCGTGGTTACTGCCAGCTCGACCGTCTTCTTTTCCCCGGCTTTGATTGGTAGCTCCGTGACAGGGGCGTCGGCGCCCGAGAACTCCTCGTCCCCGGCCCTGCCCAATCCACCGTACTGGATGGGGACCTTCTCGGGCGAGATCAGCCTGGATTCCAATCCAGAAATTCCAGATCAATCCCAGAGAATTCGCATCGAGTGAGAGAGAGGAACTTACTTGAACAATGCCTCGGTCGATTTGCCCAGCCGTGTGACCACGAATTTGTTCTTCTGGTGCTGCGTGAGGAAGGGGCTGAGCAGCGAGAAGACGGCGCTGTAGTACCATGGAACATTGATGAACACCTGCGAGATCGATCGATCGATCGATCGGCCAAATTGAGTGAGCAAACAGAGATCTTGCGAGGAAGAGGATGATACTCACATTCTTGATGACCAGCTCGGGGTAATTGTCCTGGAGGAGGCTGATCGCCTTGAGAAGAACACTGCGCACCTTCTTGGCCGGCCATGGCGCGTTCTTGAGATCGATCACCTGGAGCAGCGCATTGGGCGTGCTCGGCTCCAGCTTGAGCATCTTGACGCCCTTCTCCTGGAGCTGGACCCTCCAGCGCAGGAACCTGGCGGCGTCGTCGCCAAACACCTTGGAGTAGAGATCCTTGTCCTGGAGGACGCCAAACACGTTGTAGCACACCGGGTGCCCCTCCTTGTCCTCGCCAAACATGAATGCCATGCCATCGAAGTCGGCGCCCAGCTCCTCGTCCAGGATCTCGTCCGCCTTGAAGCTCTTGCGCCACAGCACGCAGTTCTTGAGCATCGCCAGCGCCTGCGAGACCTTGAAGTCGCGCGCCTTGAGGAACTTGCCCAGGATCACGTCCGTGCGCTCGTCGCCCTCGGTGTGGAGCAGCGGGATCCCCCACAGGAACACGTCCTCGGGCGGCGTCTCCGGCTCCTCCACCGCCTTGGGCTCCTCCTCGATCTTCTCCTCCGCCGCTGGTGGCGCCGCTGGCTCTGCCACTGGCTCTACCGCCGGCTCTACCGCTTTCTCGCTCGATTCCACCGCCGCTGCCGCTGGCGCAGGCTCCTCGGGAGCTTTCTCCTCCGCGGCTTCCTCATCCAGCTTCTTCGTCTCCGCCACCTCCGTGGTGGTGGCGGCGGCGGCGGCGTCCTTGGGCTCCTCCTCCTTGGCGGGCTCTTCCTTGGGCGGTGGTGGCGGAGGAGGTGGCACGAAAGCGTTGGCTTTGATCGCCTCGGCCACCTTGAGCTTGAATTCCTCAAGAGCTTTCTTCTCCAGCTCCTCCTTGGTGGGCTTGGGCGACTTGGGTGGCGCTGCCGGCTTGGCCGCCGCTACATCTCCGCCCTCCTCCTTGGCTGGAGCCTCCTCTCCTCCTTCCTTGGCTGGCGCTTCCTCTCCCTCCTTGGCCACCGCCTCCCCTGCTGGCGCTGGAGGAGCTGGTGCCGGAGCTTCCGGAGGAGACGATTCCTTCACAGGCTCCTCGGCAGGAGCGACAGGCTCTGGCGATTTAGTGACCTCTGTTACGTCCTCTGCCGCCATCTATGATTGACTATATTCCCTCCCCACACACTCTCTCACACTCTCCACGCTCTCACAAACTCACACAACACTGCAAATTAAGCTCCCAAGTGAGGGTTGAGGGAAGAAATCCCCACTCTCGCCTTTGATCCCCGATCGATCGAATCCAAAATCTCTTGGAGGAGTTTCGTCGTCGGCTATTCCTCGGCGCTGTCCCTGTTCTTCAATGCTGCGACCCCTTGTTCATTCATTTTCATAGCCAATGCAGCCTCCAAATTTACGGCGGCGTTATTTACCTCGGATCCTCCACAGCGCCTGTCTGTTATTTTATTCCACTTTTTACCCAACCTCTCCCCTCCTTGGCCTGTCTGTTTTTACCATTCCGCCCGTTCTTTTCTTCTTGGCAAGGGTGGCATGAGGTGGCCAACGGGCCCCGCCGCCAATGCCAGCCAATGGCGTGCATGCGCATGGCCATGGCCATGGCCATGCCACCCACGCACATGGTGGGGGAGAATGTGGGGAAAGACCCGCCCCGCATGACGCATGTCGCGTGTGCGGCCACATGGCGTCCAGCCATACGTGGGACCCAAGCACCTTTGCCGGCCGTACCCATGACCCCCCACCCATGTGTATGCCCATCTGGCATCAAGCGCATATTCTATTATCTTATGATTCACGTCCGGAGAATATGCGCCGAATTAGGGCTGGCATCCACATTACGCGGCCCATGGATATGGCTGGCCTTGGTAAGCAATGGGACAAAGACAAGCCAGCTAAACACGCATGCCGACAAGGCTGCCAGCTTGTGGCAAGGGAAAGGTATCGCGACATTTGGTGGTTGGAAAAATTCTCTTCTCATCCGTCCCCTCCCCATTGTGGGGATGATCGCCGCCCTTCGTCAGCCCCAAAGGCCTGGACAAATCCTCCTTTGTCTCCTGGCATGGATGGATCGCAGCAGCGTTGTGACAAGGAATTAGGGTTTTGGAACATTCCTGGAGCCCTAACTCTAGGGACCACTTTCGCGGCGGGAGGAGTTTGATCTTTTGGATTGGAGCGTTGAAACTACAAGGGCCCTTGCTAGATCCCCTAGATCACCATAAAGAAATCGCTTGGAAGAGATCCAGGGGTCAGGATCTTACAAGGAAAAATGTGGGCGCGTGGAGATTCGAGCGCAATGGGTGGATTTTGGAGGAGCAGGGATTTTTTCCACTGGCTCCTAGTTGAGCGTTTGCTACTCTATCCAGATCTTCCAAAGGGTTTTACTTGTGATTATAGAATCGAGAATCGAAAGAGACAGCGGCAATCCACTTGTGATCCGAGAAGAACGAAGATTTTCTATGATTCCACTTTAATTCTAAACTGTGCGCATGCCCTAAAAAACTTGAGGTAGCCGTTAGTTGGAAAAAAGAAATATCTAGAGAGAATGTGACTGACGTGGCGGTATCCGAGCCGTCGGCCTAGAAAGATCCGTTAGCTAGACAGATGCCTAACGGCTTTCTTTGTACGGTGCTGGGGTGTACGAGCTCTGTCAGTGGAACCGAGGTCCCCTCGGGCTAGGGCTAACCACGGAGCAGTGGCGCGCGGCGGCTAGGGAAAGCGCGCTCGATATCCAACGCGATCTTGCGGTAAGGCGGCTCCTAGAATCCGGGAATGCGGAGGCGGCGGCGATAGAACAAGCCGCCTATCGCCGCCGCGCGGATTGGCCAGGTTTACACTGCGGCCCAGCGATGTTCGCCGCGATGCTCGACTCGGAGGAGGATGGATGGTGGGAGGCGGTGAATCCCAGCTCGGACAGCGAAGGAGAGGGCTCTCCAGGGTTTTGCGGTACGGATTGCTTCGACCAGCTGCCCGACTCGCTCCTCGTGTTGATCCTCAACAAGGTGGGCGATATCAAGGTGCTGGGGAGGTGCTGCGCCGTTTCCAAGCGATTCCAGGCGCTGGCCGCCCACGTCGAGGACGTGACCGTCAAGGTCGACTGCGTGATCTCGGGCGAGGACTGCAACTTGAGCGGCAAGAGCAAAGGCTTCCTTGGCCAGCTGATGCGATTGGTCTTCGGGAGCTTCGTGAGGCCGCTCCAGCTCCTCCAGCACTTCCTGGGGCCGAGGAAGAGCGCCGTCCTGGCCGAGGTCTCGCACCATTCCCCCAGCGAGGTGCTCAAAAGCTTCAAGGTGATCCGCCACTTGAGGATCGAGCTCCCTGGTGGCGAGCTCGGGATCGAGGAAGGGGTGCTGCTCAAGTGGAAGGCCGAGTTTGGGAGCACGCTGGAGAGCTGCGTCATTCTCGGGGCCGCGTCCATGGTGGAGGCCGATGGAAAGTGGCCAGCAGCGAAGGAGCTCGAGGAGCCCGAGGAGGGTGGCGATGGCGGATGCATCCCGGACTCGTTCTACACCGACGGGGGCTTGAAGAAGCGGGTGGTGTGGACGATCAGCTCGCTCATCGCTGCGTCAGCGCGGCACTACTTGCTCCAGCAGATCATCTCGGATCATCTGACGCTGGAGACGCTGGTTCTCACGGACGCGGACGATCAGGGGCTGCTGTGCATGAGCAAGCGGCAGCTCCACGACTTCAGGGACAAGCCGGTGGCGGCGTCCGCGTCGTCGAGCAGGACGCAGGTACCGGATCTCAACATGAAGCTCTGGTACGCGCCGAGCTTGAGCCTCCCCAATGGCTGCTCCATGAAAGGCGTGACGCTGGTGGCCATTCGGCCGAGCGAGCGGCCGACCACCAAGGAGGACGATGGTTTCATAGCTCGAGCTTTCGGGGAGCCGTTCAAGACCGCCGCTTGCCTGCTTGCGAGGCGCCGGACTTACTTGCTGGAGATGAATTCCTTCTGACGAGAATGACTGGATCATCGTTCTTTCATCCGGCTGTGGATGAAAAGCCCCATGGAAAGTTTCGCGTGGCCAAAGTGGCCACTGTATCTGTAATTATTCTAGAGTACTTCCATGCAAGATGTATTTTTATGCAAGATCGTCACAGAAGATCTGTCCTTCATTAGTTCCAAAGATTCCAGCCAACTTTACAGATGAAATGGTCCATCGCGCGGCCAAAGTGGCCACTGATTTCTAGAGTACTTCCATGCAAGATATGCAAGATCGTCACAGAGATCTTTCCTTTAGTTCCTAAAATTCCAGCCAGATGAAATGCTCCATGGCCCGGCCAAAGTCTGAGATCTATAATATTCTAGAGTACTTGGCAAGATGTATTTCTATGCAAGATTGAATGGTCACAGACGATCTTTCCTTTAGAAGTTCCCAAGATTCCAGCCAGATGAAATGCTCCATCGCGCGCGGCCAAAGTCTGATATCTATAATATTCTAGAGTACTTCTCAAGATGTATTCCCACGCAAGATTGAATGGTCACTGAAGATCTTTCCTTGAGAAGTTCCCAAAATTTCCAAGCTTGACGTGCCAACTTTTCCATGATACCTGGATCGCGCAGCCAAAGTGCCGATGTTTATGCAAGATTGAATTGTCACGCAAGATAGAAGCTCCAAAGCTTGATAAGTTGCCAACTTTCGTCCAGCCAAAAAACCTCTAAGCCATGCTCGCGACGATGAGATATGGCGCGGCATTCGCGATGGACGTGCGGCTCGAGGACTGATACTTTGCAATGCGCGCCGCTCGATCGTCGTCCCTGTGGCTCTTGCAAGCCGCGAGCAAGCACTGCCAGTCCTGGAACTCGGGCTCAAACGGCATGCTGTGGATCACCTCCTCGGCCTCGTCCAGCCGCCCCGCCCGTCCCAGCAGATCGATCACGCAGCAGTGGAGCTGCTTGCTGGGAGGATCCAGCCCAAAGTCCTGGGCGATTGATCGAAAGAGATGGATGCCGGAGCTCGCGTCGCCGCGGTGCGTGATCCCGAGCATGACGCAGATGAAGGACATGTCGTCGGGCTCGAGGCCTTGCATGGCGATGGAGGAGACGATCCGCGCGGCGCGGTCGTGGGCGCCATGCTGCGCGCACGACACTGCCATCGCGTTCCAGGCCGCGAGGCTTGGATCGGGCATTCGATCCAGCGCCTGGCGCGCACGGTCCAGCAGGCCCTTGCGCCCCAGCGCCGCGATCATCACGTTCCAACACACGGCGTCGCGCTCCGGCATGGAGTCGAAGAGCTGTTTTGTCTCGTGGACGAATCCGTTGTGGGCGAGCACGATGAGGAGCGAGGTCCAGGAGAAGCGATCGTGCTCGGGCATCTGGCCGAAGATCGAGAGGGATTCTTGGAGATCGCCGGCGTTGGCATAGGCTGCTAGGATAGCAGACCATGCAACCACGTCCCTGGCGGGCATTGAATCAAAGAGAGATTTTGCTTGATAGAGGTTTCCGGCTTGGGCGTGAGCGGATAGAATGGAGGTCGAGGCCAGGAGATCCAGCTCCGGCATTCGATCGAAGAGATCCATCGCTTGGGCAATTTGCCCCTTCTGGGTATGTACAGTGAGTAGTGAGTTCCAAGAAACAAGATTATGCTCCGGCATATTGTCAAAGAAGGTTCTAGCTTGAGCAAGTAATCCGTTCTTAGAGTACGCATTAAGTACTGTGTTAAGCGACACCAGATTTGTTTCTTTCATCTCGCTTAGAACAGCTTTCGCTTTAGACAAATACCCATTCGCGGCAAATGCTGCGAGCATAGCATTGCACGAAACTAAGCTCCACTCCGGCATAGCTTCAAAGAGTTTCCTTGCGTTTTCGATATCGTTGCTGCGCGAGTGAGCTGAGAGTATGCTAGTCCAAGTGATCTCGTCGGCCTCCGGCGTTGAATCAAACAGGTTCTTAGCCTCGTCCAGTTGCCCGAGCCGGGCAAGCACCGAGAGCATCGCATTCACGGCCGCCAGGTTCCACTCCGGCATGGCCACGAACAGCTGCCGCGCCTGGTCGAGTTTGCCGCTCTGGGCATAGGCAGAGAGCATGAGTCCCCAGGAGTAGCGATCTCTGGACGCTGCAGGGATGGAATCGAAGACCCGGCGAGCGCTATCCACGCTGCCACACCGCGCGTAAGCCTGGATCATCATGTTGGAGAGGAGGAGCGATTTGGATGCCGTGATCTCCCGGAGGTGGAAGACTCGCGAGTGGGCATCCTCCGCCTCCGCGAGCGACCCACACGATCTGATAAGCTTGATGCATTGGTCCATCCCCTAAAGAGTTCGCTTCCATTCTTCTCTCTCCACATTTCTTTGCGCCACCTTTCCCAAATGCTGTGCCCTAATTCTTAACGTAAGGAAAATGTTCTATAATGGTTTTTGACTTTCTTTGACTGTTAACCTTTTTAGAATTTCTTTCACCTTTTATGCCAGTGTCAACTTCGTCAACTGCTTTGGCTTTTTCGGTTTATAAGAATTATTGCATCGCCAAGTTGATTCCAATTCAATGAGAAACTTCTCATAGAAAATCACTGCAACTTGGGATGTGACCACTTTGATTTCGCAGCGACAGTGGTAGGCTAGCATAGAAACCCCACTCTTCTTCGCCATCTTTTTCACAACCTCCACGAGATGCTCTCCAAACAAAAGTACCCCTCCTTGCTTTTCTGTTCTCTGTCCCTCCAGATCTACGGCGGCATCGCCCAACTTGAAGCTCAAAACAAAAACACAAAGAAAGAGACAAGAGAAAGAGATTGGTCTTTTTGCAAAAACTTTCGTTTTATTCCCATGATCCAGAGCTTGGCAAAAACCACATTGTAATCTTCCACTGTACAACCAGCCCCACCGCGGCCACTCGGTAACGAATGGTGTTAGAGATCGAGCGAGAGCTCCCGTCGCTAGCAGCACCAAATCCCCAAGAAGAGAAGAGAAGAGAATGAGAAGAACAGCAAAAAAAAAACGAGAAAAACCTCCGCTCAGATCAGCTGAAAACGATGAATGGGGTTAGCATGAGTGAGTTCGAGAGTGTGTAGTACCACCACTAAAGCTACGAAACAAACAAACGAAAATGGCCCCCCTCCTCCATAGCCAGAGCCAGCCAGCTTGCCTGTCACTTTTTTCGTTCCTCCATCGCTCCATCTCTTCCTGCTTTTGATCCAGAGCTCTTCGAATTCGTCCAGTAGTAGAGAGGAGGATCCCACCGCAGAAAAATCGCCAGGTCCGCGCATGCAAGCCCCGTCCCTGGCAGGAATCTCGGCTGCTTTTGTCACCTTGTTTGTTCCAAGCTTTGTACTCAACCTCACTTTAGCCTGGCTTCGTTCCCCTCGTCACAGCCCGAGTGACAAAAAAGCTTCTTTCTGCTCGCCTTGCCTTGCGTTGCTTTGCCTTGCTTTGCTTGGCGTGTGGGAGAGAATATCTCCCTCCCTCTCTCTCAAAGCACAAAGCTTTCAAAGCCTTTCCCCCTGCGCCACCTTTTCCCTCTCACGGCCTCTCCTGGATCTCGAGCCGCGCGGCCTCGAAGATATGGGAATGGAGCTTCCGTATCCATCCGAAAGAGAGAGCCTCCGGGAAGAAGCTGAAGTTTTATATCCTCCTCCTTTTCACTCCGTCGTGTCGAGCTCGTTGTTGCGTGACTTGTGCTCAAGCTCGCGGTAGCAGTGGGAGCAGGCGCTGCTAAACTCGGCCAGCCGGCTGAACACCACCGGCAAGTCCATCTCCAGGATCCCCACCGTCATCTTGCGCGTGATCTGCATCGCCCGCGTGAACCCGTCCCTCTCCTCGTCCACCCTCTGCCGGAACGCCTCCAGCGCGTCCCTCTTCTCCTGCAGCGCGTCCCTCTTCTCCTTGAGCGTCTCCTCCGGCGTGGTGTTGGTCTCCGCCGCCAGCTTCTTCTCCAAGTTGTTGAGCGCCAACGACTTCTTGCTCAGCTCCTTGGCCATGGACTCGGCCCGCTTCTGCGCCCGCGTCTCGTCCTCCTGCTGCCGGACAATGTTGTGGATCTTCTCCGCGAAGCTCTTGATCGCCTCCACCAGCTCCTGCTCCTGCAGCCGCTCGAGCGCGTCGGTCCAGGCCTGGCACAGCGCCTGCACGGGGGGCCGCCTGTCCGACTTCCGGTCTGGCGTGTAGATGCTGAGCCGCAGCCACGAGTTTAAGTTGCGCAGGTACTCCTTCTGCTTGGTCACCAGCGACGCCAGCCCCCGCTGCCACTCGTTGAGCGCCACCTCGAGCTGGACCGTCGCCTGCTTGTGCGAGTTGCTCGTCGCCTCCAGCGGCGAGCTCCCGGCCCCCTTGAGCCGGTTGGCCTCGTTCTTCTGCCGCTGGTGGCAAGCGTCCATGTTCTTCCACATGATCATGGTCCTGGAAGAAACCAAAGTTTGCATAAGAACATCTATACATTCACGAAAGCTTACGCTTCGAGCAGCTCTTTGAGCTGTTGGAAGAGCTCCCGGTCGGTGACCTCCTGAATCGACTGGGACGTGGCCTTCATGGCCTGCATGGACACTTGCATTTGCGTCTCCAGCATCTTGATGGCGACGCGGGTCTTGTCGATGGCCTCGTCCCTCGCCCCGCGCGCGTCCAGCTTCTTGAGCAGCTTGCACTTGCGCTCAAACTCTGCGCTGATGGAATCATTTTCCTGCCACCAACTTTGGTGAACACGAATAAGAGAAAAACCCAAACGCTAGGCAAAGACGTGACGAGGGGGAAGCCTTTCTCACCTTTACCTCCACGTACAGCTTCTTCTCCCACGCGTAGAGCTTGTCCAGCGTCGTCGCATGGCCGCTGCCGCCGCCGCCACCACCTTTCGCCGAGACGCTGCCGGCAAAGTCGTCGCTGGACGAGTCCTCGCTCCACGAGAAATGCGACCTCGGCGAGAACTGCGACCGTGACATCGCACGGAAGATTCTGGCAGACCGCTCAGTCAGTCCTACACACATCACAAAACACATGCGATCAGTGATCTGATCACAAAAACCTCTCTCTTTCCAAAGTGTACTTGCCTCGAGTATCCAAGAAACTATGACTGTGATTCTTCCGTGCCTCCAGGAGCCGAGAAACATCCGATCCGAAGCTGGACGCCTTGAAAAGCTCCTTCTCGATCCCCCGGAGCACGTCCCACAGCTCCCGGTCCTTTTTCGGCCCCAGCGACGCGAGAGGCGGCGGTGGCGGCGGGGGAGCCTCCGCCTCCACGTCCGTCTCCTTGTAAGACGTCGACGCCTCGTCCTCCTCGTACAAGCTCTTGGTCGCCTCCGCGAGCTTCTTGTACCCCTCCGTCTCGATCTTGAAGTTGATATCGTCCCCGGAAGTTCCAGAGCTCGAGGCCATGTCTCGAGCAGCTTCATGGTGGTGATGGCGATCGTGTTCTTGGTCTTCTTCTTTCGGGTGGTGGAACTTAAACTTCTCCGGCGGCGGCTCCTCCGCCACGTCCATCTCGGGCTCCTCCTCCACCACGATCTCCTTCTGCTTGTCTTTCTTCTCCGGCTTGTGCGTCTGCGTCCCCTTCTCGGCCCTCTCCACCAATCTCTCCACTTTCTCCACCACTTTCTCCACCTCCTCCACCATTTTCTTCTTCGCCTTCTCCAGCTTCCCTTCCTTCTCCACGGTCTCGGCCTTCTTCCTCGCCGCCTCCTCCCGCTCCTCCTCCTCCTCGGCAACTTTCTTCTTCTTGGCCTTGGCCGACGGCGGCGGCGACTCCTCGCGCCGCCTGTGCGGCGGTGACGCCATCTCCAATGCAGGAATGTCCTCCTCCTCCATGGCCCGCTTGAGCTCCTCCTCGTCCTCCTCCACCACCTGCTGGAACGGATGCATCATCGACGGCACCGCGAAGATCCCGAAGATGTCCCACGACGGCGCCGAGTCGGGCTGCTGCATCATATACGCCGAATTGTAGCCCGAGTAGTAGTCCGAGTTGTCCGAGACGGGATAGGCCGAGGCGACCGAGGCGGAGGACGTACCGCCGGCAGTACCGCGCGGCTTCCCGGGCTGGGGGATGTCACTGTACAGCCCATCTGGCGGTGCATCCGCCTCCATGTAGCGCTGGTAGGCGTCGTCGTCGTCCCCGCCGCGCTTGGGCAGCACCACCGTGATGGGATCCGCGGGCTTGCTGCGCAGCGCCATGGGGCGGAGCTTGACGCGCCGGACGATCTCCTCCACGAAGAAGTCCTCCTCGTCCTCGGGCTTCTTGCTGTTCTTGAGCGGCGGCGTGGTGGGCGTGGCCGGCACGGGCGTGGAGGAGGCGGAGGAGGCCGAGGCGGAGGAGGAGGAGGCGGAGGAGAGCTGGTCCCGGAACTCGCCATCCGTGAACTGCTTGAATGCGCCGCCAAGGTTCTTGAGCGACGCCAGGTAGTCGGTGTGGGCGAGCGCGTACTGGTTGCGCCATCGCACCGCGTGCTTGATCGTGCGCTTGCGTGCCCGGCAGCGCGAAATCCCGGCCTCGTTCTGGACCTTGGATCCAGTACACCCCATGATCTATCCCCTATCTATCCTTCCTCCTTGGCTGCCAAGAAAGAAATCTTTGTTCCTATCGCTACCTATCTATCCAGACCATGCTCGAGCAAACCCTCTTGGTGCCTCTCCCTCAAGTGGGATTGGAGAGGAGCGAGTGAGAGCCAAGGCCGCCGCTAGTTCTCCACAGAAGAATCCATATCCCACTGCCCATTCTCTCGAATCTCTCGGGGAAAAACGCTCAAGAAACACGCGTGCCGGCGATGAGGATCAAAGAGGACGAAAAAGCAAAGAACCTGTCGAGGAAGTAGCGATTCGTTGCTTTGCTCGCTTTCGGTCGCCTATGTTGACTCCATAGCTGGGCTTCTTCTTGAGCTCCTTCTTCTATCCCTTTCCCTCTCTTTCTTCCTTCTTCTCGGACTGCCCGATGGATCGCGAGAGCCCGAGAAGACTGACCGAGCTCTACGAGGGCCGGCGCCTTCTCCTTCGATCCAACCCTCTTCCTCTTTCTCTCATCCTAATTTTTCTTTTTCTCTTGCGTCCTATCGCGAGAGTTTAAAGTAGGTAAATGTGGGTCGATTTTCCCCAGCTCCCTAAAATTTGATTTTCTAGCCCGGAAAGATTCTCGCCAAAGATTTTAGACCTTGGACTTTCTTTACCCGCGTAACTCCGCGGGGTAAAACATTTCGCCCTGCGATGCGATATGCTATGCGTGTTGTGTTGGAAGGACCTGGAAGTTTTTTTTCACTTTTTTATTTCCTTACCGCCTTTTATTTTTATCTCGTCGGGAATGCTTCATGTTCCCATCCAACGCTCGCCATCGCGCCACG